GGACTTCCCTGTGATCCAGAAATTCCACTGCTAGGTATAAATGCCAAGTGATTTGTGTAGCTGTACTGTTTGCAACATTCAAAAACTGGAAACTCCAACTGTCTATCAATGGTAGAAGGGATTTTTAATGATTTATTCAAATGATAGAATGCTATACAGTAATGAACATGGACAGTCCACAACCACATACAATACTCATGGGCCTCACATACAATATGATGCTGAATCAAAGAAGAAAACTCTATACTTCCATGTAAATAAAGTACAGAAATAGATAAAACTAATTTATACCATTAGGAATCAGGGTAGCAATTACCTTTGAGAGAACAAATATTTGAAGGAGATATGAGGTGATTTCTGGCATGCTAGCAGTGTGTCTTTGATCTAAGTGTGGATTACTCATATGTGATCAATATGTAAAACTTCCTGACAAATTTTTGGATTTCATTTTATTTCCTAAAATAGTATTAGTGTAATTTTTCAGCCTGTGTCTGACAATTACATTTTCTGAAGTCCCTACATGCTTCCATGTGTTGGTTCTTGTTTCTGGAATCTTATTTCCCTGGGTGTTTGCTCATCTTTAGGTGTGTGCTAGACATTATGTTTGGAAAATCAGAGGCAATTTGAGGTGTAAGATGACATTATTTCCCTCCAAACGTGATTCTTTTCCAGTTGATTTTGTTTAGTACTTGGATCACTAGAAAGCTGGGATCGTCCTGATTTTCCAGACCTCTGATGACTCAAAGCACTCACTGTGTCACTCACTGTCAGTGTTTCTTATTCTTCCTCCTACCTCACATTTTGGGATTGCTGTACAATAAGAAAGTTGGGTTGCTCCTTGTAAACAAGAGTCATTTCCCAAGACCTCTAATTTCAGATATTAACATTGGAGCAATTATTCATGTTCATCTCAGAAGCTGTCTTGGGATTACCTCCCCAGAGCCTCTACAAAATCGATAATAGGTCTGATGTGGTCCTTGTTCAGCCCCTTTGTTCACTAATCTGGGACCCAGCACTTCTCAGATCTCCCAGCCTCATCAGGTTATAAAGAGTCTTAAATTTTGTCTTCCCTTTTGCAGGGACCGAAGACGCAGGCAAAAAGTCATCCCCTCCCACTTTAGACAATAGGACAAGGCACCAACTCATCCTCAGAAAACAGCGCCTTGCGTTGCTTCATGTCCTGACTGAATTTTCATCCTACAGAGGAAAAAAGGGGAGGAAGCTGAGCCAGAAACTCAGAACAGCACAGAGCTATAGGTAAGGTCTGTACATCCCAATCAATCTCCATCACTCAATCTCTCTCTCTCTCTCTCTCTCTCTCTCTCTCATCTTCTATAAATCATAACAGGATTTTGAGGAAACAAAACTACTGTAAATTTCATCTAAAAATAAACATGAGGATAAGCAAAGGAAATGTTGAAAAAGAAGGTAACAAGAAAGTACTTTCTCTGCCAATATCCAGGATTCTAAAAGTGTGTGGTACCAGTACTAGAATGGCAAGGTTGATAGGACTGATGGAACTTCAGGAAATGAACCAAATTCATGTGCGATTTACTAGAGTGTTACAATAGGGCTTTAAATTGTCAGGCAAAGTTTCCGTTTTTCAACAAAAAGCATTGAGACAAACTTTAGATCAGTATTTCCTGAGACCCAAAAAGAAACTATAGACCAGCCTCATAAATAAGGCTACAAAGAGGCGTATCTGGCACAGCTCTTAGGACACTGCTTGGCATACCTGAATTAAATTTGGAGTTCCTTGGTTCAAGTCCCATCTCTGCTTCTGATTCCAGATTCTTGTTAATGTGTACCCTAAGAGACAGCAGGTGCTGGCTGAAGTCCTTGGGTCGTTGCTACCCATACAGGAGACCCATATTGAGTTCCAGCTCCTGGCTTCAGCCTGGCCCAGTCCTGTCTTTGTTGTTCTACCTTTCAAATTAAATAAATAATTAATTGAATATTTTTTAGAAATATGACTATAGGCCGGCGCTGCGGCTCACTAGGCTAATCCTCCACCTTGCGGCGCCGGCACACCGGGTTCTAGTCCTGGTCGGGGCACCAGATTCTGTCCCGGTTGCCCCTCTTCCAGGCCAGCTCTCTGCTGTGACCAGGGAGTGCAGTGGAGGATGGCCCAAGTCCTTGGGCCCTGCACCCCATGGGAGACCAAGAGAAGCGCCTGGCTCCTGCCATCAGATCAGCGCGATGCGCTGGCCACAGCACACCGGCCGCGGCGGCCATTGGAGGGTGAACCAACGGCAAAGGAAGACCTTTCTCTCTGTCTCTCTCTCTCACTGTCCACTCTGCCTGTCAAAAAAAAAAAAAAAAGACTATAAAAACTTAAATAAAACAATAGTAAGTCATTTTCAGTAGTTTATACTGAGAATGTAAGTGTGGATCAACATTAGAAAAGCTGTTAACAGTGATAGGCACCAAAAAAGCATTTAATTAAAAATTAAACCATCACAACTATTTATTAAAATACTAATTATTAAAATAGGAGGATAAATACTAAATAAATATACTGTATCCTGCTAAAATCTTTAAAGATTCTTTTCTGCATTTAGAATAAAAATTTTTAGCTTAACAAGGTCCTGAATAAGCTTATCTCCTATTACTTGAACAATCCCAAATCTCACCATTCCTCCATTTTTTTCCTTTTACAAAGCTTTATTAAGGTACAATCAATATATAGTACACATGTTAAAACAGACAATTTTATGAGTTTGTATACATGTATACACATAGAAAGTCATCATTGCAATCAAGAAAACAAACATAGGCATCGACTCCAAAGTTTATTTTGTGGACCATTTAATACCTCAATTTTCCTTTCCTCATCTATGCCTGCAGACCACCAATGGTCTTCTTTATCTACAAGATCAGTTGGTATTTTATAGAAATTTACAGAAATAGATGACTGCCTCCACTTGCATAAAATGTTCAGAGTCTAAATTTCTCTATTTCCACTCTCTCAAAAAGGAAAAGAAATATCAATGTGAGAAAAATTAATGAACATCAATTGGGAAAATGCCACCATGGTTGTACAGGTTTTTGAATGATTGTAAATTACAAACCTCCAGACATTCACAGACTTATATCTTTCCCAACCCTAACAAAATTATACTAATAACAAAATTTCAAGTTTTAATATTTTCACAAGTCTCTTCCTCATCCTTATTTAAATCCTAGCTTTGTCCCCTTTTCTTTTTAAAATAATTTATTTAAGGTATATAAATTTCATGTATTTCATATATACAGATTTAGGAACACAGTGATACTTTCCACCACACCCTCCCTCCCACCCCACTTCTCCCTCACTCCCACACTTCTTCCTCCTCCCTCTCATATTCCCATTCTTATTTTTTACAAAGATCTATTTTCAGTTAACCTTATAGTAATAAAATTAGCCCTACACTAAGTAAAGAATTCAACAAATAGTATGAAGAGAAAAAGCCAAAACACTGTTCTTCAACATTCGAGACAAGGGCTGTTAAAGATCATCACATCTCAGTGTCAGTTTTACTCCTATTAATTGCCACAGATCAGGGAGAACATATGCTACCTGTGTTTTTGGGACTGGCTTATTTCACTAAGTATAATGGTTTCCAGTTGCATCCATTTTGATGCAAATGACAGAATTTCATATTTTTTACCACTGTATAGTATTCCATGATGTATATATTCCATGTTTTCTTTAGCCAGTATTCAACGATAGACACCTGGGTTGATTCCATATCTTAGCTATTGTAAATAGAGCTGCAATAAACATGGGGGTGTAGGTAACTCTTTCATATGCTGATTTCTTTTCCTTTGGATAAATTCCCAGGAGTGGGATGGCTGGGTCACATAGCAGGTCTATATTCAGATTTCTGAGGTGTCTCCATATCCATACTGTCTTCCACAGTGGCTACACCAGTTTACATTCCCACCAACAGTGCATTAGGGTACCTTTTTTCCCCACATCCTTGCCAGCATTTATTGTTTATTGATTTCTGGACAAGGTAAAACCTCATCATGGTTTTGATTTGCATTTCCCTGATGGCTAGTGACTGTGAACATTTTTTCATGTGTCTGATGTCCATTTGAATTTCCTCTCTTGCAAAGTACCTATTCAAGTCTTCTGCCCAATTCTTAACTGAATTGCTTGTTTTGTTGTTGTTGAGTTTGAGCTCTTTATGGATTCTGGATTTTAATCCTTTATCAGTTGCAGTTTGCAAATATTTTCTCGCATTCTGTTGGTCGCCTCTTCACTATGCTGAGAAGCTTCTCAGCTTGATGCAATCTCATTTGTCAATTTTGGCCTGGATTGCCTGTGCTTCTGGGGTCTTCTCCAAGAAGTCATTGCCTATGCCAGTGTTTTGCAGAGTTTCCCCAATATTCTCTAGTAATTTGATGGTAACAAGTCATAGGTTTAGGTCTTCAATCCATTTTGAGTCCTCCAAACATTTTCAAGCACCTACCTATATTTAGCTCCTAAACACAACAAGACCTTTTCTACCTCGGGACCATTGCACAGGCAGCCTTCCACCACATTCTGTTCTGTTATTTTCTTTATTTATTTATTATTTGACAGGTAGAGTTATAGACAGTGAGAGAGGGACAGAGAGAAAGGTCTTCCTTCCGTTGGTTCACTCCCCAAATGGCTGCTATGGCTGGCGCTGTGCCGATCTGAAGCCAGAAGCCAGGCACTTCCTCCTGGTCTCCCATGCAGGTGCAGGGGCCCAAGCACCCGGGCCATCCTCCACTGCCCTCCTGGGCCACAGCAGAGAGCTGGACTGGAAAAGGAACGACTGGGACTAGAACCCAGCACCCATATGGGATGCCAGCGCCGCAGGTGGAGAATTAACCAAATGAGCCACAGCGCTGACCCCTATGTTCTTTTCTTTAGTCAGGATGTCACAGGATTGGATTTTTTTCACTTCCATTAAAAAAAATGAATTAAAAGGCGAATAGCTGCAGTCTATCTCTACATATATAATTCAATATAATTTACATACACTGCCTTTTCTTTTTTGAATTTATTATGATATTGTGTATGTTTTCAAATGATATTTAAAATAGACACATGCATGTTATGAAATGGAAATCATAATATACTAATCACTAAACACTTCAAGAATGTTGTAAGATGATGATATTTAAAATAAGACTTGGACATTATTCTGGTCCCATTGAGTATGCCAAATTAGAAGTTGCTAGAACAATTAAGGTGTATAAGAACTTCACATGTTCTGTTTTTGTGCCTATATTACTTTGTTGTTTATGTTTCAAAATACAAAAAAAAAGTGTCTAAAATATTTTAATGCTAAGATTTACAGTTTTGCTTGTTTTCAGGTCCTTATTAATTGAAGACGCTAGGTAAACGTTTATTGGTGTTGTCATTTTAGAAAGTTGGGGCATGGATGGAGGCAACCAGAGTGAGAACTCGGAGTTCCTCCTCCTGGGGATCTCGGAGGTCCCTGAACAGCAGCGGGTCCTGTTTTGGATGTTCCTGTCCATGTACCTGGTCACGGTGGTGGGAAATGCGCTCATCATCCTGGCCATCGTCTCCGACTCCCGCCTGCACACACCCATGTACTTCTTCCTGGCCAACCTCTCCTTCACCGACCTCTTCTTTGTCACCAACACGATCCCCAAGATGCTGGTGAGCCTTCAGTCACAGAACAAAGCCATCTCCTACGCGGGGTGTCTGGTGCAGCTCTACTTCCTGGTGTCCTTGGTGGCCCTGGACAACCTCATCCTGGCGGTGATGGCCTATGACCGCTATGTGGCAATCTGCCGCCCCCTCCACTATGTCACAGCTATGAGCCCTAAGCTCTGCATCTTGCTCCTCACCCTGTGCTGGGTCCTGTCTATCCTCTACGGCCTCACCCACACCCTCCTCATGACCACAGTGACCTTCTGTGGGTCCCGCAAGATCCACTACATCTTCTGTGAGATGTACGTCCTGCTGAGGCTTGCATGTTCTGACATCCAGGTCAATCACACGGTGCTCATTGCCACTGGCTGCTTCATCTTCCTCATCCCCTTAGGGTTCATGATCATGTCCTACATCCGCATTGTCAGAGCCATCCTCAGAATACCTTCAGTCTCTAAAAAATACAAAGCCTTCTCCACCTGTGCTTCCCATTTGGCTGTGGTCTCCCTCTTCTATGGGACGCTTTGCATGGTTTATCTGCAGCCCCTCCACACCTACTCCATGAAGGACTCTGTGGCCACGGTGATGTATGCTGTGGTGACCCCCATGATGAACCCCTTCATCTACAGCCTGAGGAACAAGGACATGCATGGGGCTCTGGGAAGACTCTTCAGAACACCTGTTCAGAGGTTGACATGACGGTGATTTGGAAAAGGGGCACGGATGGAGACTGGGCATATCATTCAAGGCAAGGCATAACGCCAGGGTTTATGTAGCAGTGATCACGACACAGCTCCAACTCAGAATGAGCACATACAGCTGTGGGGAGAAGACATGTCAGTGTAACCCAACGTCTTTCAGTCTCACCAGCCTTGCCAATACACAAGGTCACACTCATATTAATGCTAGAATTTTGCAGGTTCAAATTTTTCAACTTGCCTAAACACAGCTTATTTAGTTGTACCCACTTAGGACCTGGAGTTGTCTTTCACATTATGTAGCACACATCCAGTGCGTAGAAAGTGAGTAGTGATTGATAAGAAAGTTAGTCTCTGGGCTGTGGAGGCTTTAAAGAGATTGCAGTATTTTGTGTATGTATCACTGGAGCCAGCATTGGACCCTGGACAGTCACAGAGAGCATTCAGTCATGTGAAGTCTATCTGGTCATTCATCCATTCATTCTATTGGTAACTGAAACCTGTATCTATTGATAACGAGGTTACAAACATGAATTAAAAACTCATAGTCTACTAGAGGAAGTATATAAAATTACATGAAATGTAAATAACCTAACGCATCAGTGAAAATACAATGTCCAACATACTAATTAAAAAGTAAAACATATGTATTTAAGACACACCAAAATCTATAGTTGTACAAAAATTTACAAAAGTTGAAGGTCAAACAATAGAAACCAGTTGCAACTGGAAAAAAACTATTTTAAGTGAAATTAAATTATTAATATCAGATTATTAGTATCTTATTATTAATTACTAATAATATCAAATTTTGTCAGATATTGTCATTATTTTAGTTCTGATTTTATTAAATATTTTATTGATTCTGATTAATATCAGAAAATTATTAATATCATTTTTCAAAAGACTTCAAAACAGGTAAAAGGCACAGTGTCAGCAAAGTGGTGGAACGGGAGGTTCTGTTCCTTGTACCCCCACATAAAGACTAATTTGTCAACCAGACACATATGAAAACACCCTTGTGAGAGCTCTGGAAGGCAAGAGGGAGTGGGCAGGATCCCAGTGGAGCACAGAAGCAATAAATGTGCATCAAAAATTGGAAGAAAAACAGTTTCACGTCACCCACAGCCCTCTGCAGCCACATTAGCACGGCTCAGCACAAAGGAGCCCGCCCTGGTGCCTGGCCGTCCAGTGACAGACACAGACAAGAAGTGGATGTTCAACTCCCCCAGACACTCCCAGAAGAACGGCTCCTGCCATTCATGGCTCAGCAAAAGTTCCCTGCAGCAGATCTAGCGGAATAAAAACTTGCAGCTTTTTAAAAAACTTACTTGAGAGAGCAAATGAGTGAGCGAGCGAGCTCCCATCTGCTCCCCAAATGTGCACAGCAGCTGAGGCCAGGCCAGAGATGAAGCCAAGGGCCAAGATCACAGTCCAGGTCTCCCAGGTGAGTGGCCGGAGCCCAGAGCCATCGCCACTGCCTTCTGGGAGCTGCATTAGCAGGAGGCTGAAGCCAGAGGGGTCGGGAGTCAAACCCAGGCACTCTGTTGTAGGATGCAGGCGTCCTAACCAGCGCCTTAACCACATGGTCAAAAACACCTGTCCCCAACCTGTAACTTTAAACAGAACGCAGGCCTTTCTCATTCCCAAGGCACAGGCCCTGGGCTACAGGTCCTGAACATATGTGTCAAAACTCCATCCTCAGTAATGCAGATATGAACACATTCTTAATCAGCTTGCTTCCAAACACAGGCAAAGGATGCCATGTGTGTAGAGTTAAAAGTAAGGACCCTGTATACACGACTGCCTATTCTGTGTAGACTGCTGTGAAGGATACTCAAGACATGTGGAAGTCTCCTCTGGAGAAGAGAACAGGGACACCAGAATGGGAGACTGGCTTTTCACTTACTACTTTTTATGTGTCTTGTATGATGTCCTTGAATACGTGTGATGAAAGGAAAAAACACACATTGGGGCAGGCCTTTGTTACAGCAGTGAAGATGCCGGCTGGGATGCTTCTATCCTGTATCAGAGTGCCTTGGCTCCAGTCCCAGATCCACGCGCAATTCCAGCTTCTTGTTAGCGTGCACCCCGGGAGGCAGCAGGAGAATGCTCAGTAATCAGGTCCCTGCCACCCACCTGGGTGACCAGGATTGCGTTCTTGGCTCCTGGCCCACTGCTGGCCACTGCAGGTACTTGGGGAGTGAATAAGTGGATGTGAACTCTTCCCCTCTCTCTCACTTGCTCTTTCTCCCTCTCAAATAAATATATATATATATATATATATATATATATATATATATATATAATACTGTCAAAAGTAAAAGAAAACCGTGCACCCTTCCACCCCCTGCATCCATTTTGCTATCCCAGGAGTACCCACGGCTAAGAGTTTGGACATGTGTCCTCTCAGATGCTTGTTTGTTTTTTTTTTTTTTTTTTTTGACAGAGACAGTGAGAGAGAGAGAGAGAGAGAGAAAGGTCTTCCCTCCGTTGGTTCACTCCCCAAATAGCCGCTATGGCCAGAGCTATGCCGATCCAAAGCCAGAAGCCAGGTGCTTCCTCCTGGTCTCCCATGCAGGTGCAGGGGCCCAAGCACTTGGGCCATCCTCCACTGCCCTCCCGGGCCACAGCAGAGAGCTGGACTGGAAGAGGAGCAACCAGGACTAGAACCAGTGCCCATATGGGATGCTGGCGCCACAGGCGGAGGATTAACCAGGTGAGCCACAGCGCCGACCCCTCTGATGCTTGTTTTTCCCTCCACTGATTTCAGGGCCCAGCAGCACATGCCTGCGAGAGATCACAGACTACACAGAGCAGCGAGGCCATGTGTTTTGGCTGTGGATCACAATTCAGAGCAACACAACAGTGACCCAAACACTGTGTAGCAAGAGATGCCGCTGCAGCAGCTCTTGGCAGGTTTCCAGTGGTGCACTGCCCACTGCCTCCGGCACCTGCCTGTAAACTCGAGGGCCTGCAGCCAGACCACTGCCTCAGCACCCAGTCTGGCTTGTCACACACCTTCTGGACTCAGCTCCATTGTTTAGCAGGGACGCTCACTCTTCTCATTCTGCTCTGCATCCCCTCGACTTTCATCCGCATGCGTGCCCCAGCTCTGGGCCTCTGCAGGGAGGCTGGGCAGCTTCTCCCAGTGTATTAGGAGCCACTGGCCTGTTCTCCATGAGTCAGGACCAGAAACTTCATGAAAACCAGAAGAGTTTGTGCGCACTGAGAGGGCTGGCCACTCTAGCAACATGTGCCTTGGTTCCTACAAACTTCCCAAGGATTAATGAAATTCCCAGGGAGAGGGCGGCAAAGGCACAAGAGGGGAGAGGAGACAGAGTGTGTATTATCGCCTCCAGAAAACTGACACCTCAAAACTGGAACCACCAAGTATTTATTTCAGTGTAAACAAATTAGCACATTAGCAACCCAGATCTTCCGGAGAGTCAGCTACCAGTTAGGCCTGCTGTGGGCTGCTGGTGCATTTTAATGTGCCTGATGCTACACAGGGTTAGAACTCCCCAAGCTGAGTGCCTAAGAACCGCTGCCCCCTCCCCCCACCAGGTGCAACACTTCCACAAGGAGATTCTGGCTGGAGCTGACGCCTGCTTGTCCAGCTCTGGGCGGCCAGGGGCAGGAGCCGCCACAGCAGTCTTCTCACTCCCCAACCAGGCTGCCGCTCCCAGCACAGCATCCAGACCTCCAGCCCAAGGAAAGATTCAGCTCCCCACCTGCCGCCATTTCTTCCTGGGGGTGGTGCGGCTGAGCCTCCCAAACCCACTTCGAGACCACCTGTCTCCTGAAAGGTTTTGAACCGTGTCCAGCTCTGCTTGCCATGGCGCTGAGACAAACAGCCATGGGAGGAATATAAGTCTCCAAGCAGTGAACGGACCTCCACGCAGAAGAAGGGTCAAAAGCCACCAGGAGGGACAGGCGTGTGGCACCCGTGTCCCACAGAAGCTTTGGTGCCTGACTCCAGCTTCCCAATATAGCCCCTGGGAGGCAGCAGTAATGGCTCAACTCAGTGGGCCCCTGCCCCCCGTGGGAGACTTTAATTGAATTACAAGATCTGGCTTCAGCCCAGCCCTGTCTGCAACATAGCAGCCATCTTGAGGAGTGAACCAGTGGATGGGACCCCTTTCTTGTCCATCTCTCGCTTCATGTCTGACCCTCAAATGATCAAAACTGAAAGCAGCAACAAGACTACCAGGAACCCCTGTCACCCTCAAAGGGAGAGTAAGAAGGCCTGGAAGGCGGGCCTCCTGTTTGAGAGACAGAGATCGCCCCCCATCCTCCAATTTGCTCCCCACAAGTCCACAAGAGCAAAGCCAGGAGCTGAACACTCAGTCCAGGTCTCCCCCGCGACTGGCAGGGGCCCAGTGTACATTAGCAGGCACCGGGAACAGGGAGCGGAGCCGGGACCCAAACCCAGCTATTCCAATGTAGCACCGGCACGTGCCAGCCACTAGGCTAACCGCCCATTCCTGCGGCCTGCACTGTGGCATAGTGAGTTAAGACTCTCCCTGCCATGCCAGCTTCCCAAAAGAGCCCAGGTTCAAGTCCCAGCTGCTCCACTTCTGATCCAGCTCTCTGGGAAAGCAGAAGATGGTCCAAGTGCTCGGCCCCCTGCACTCCATGGTAGACCTGGAAGAAGCTCCTGGCTCCTGGCTTCGGATAGGTCCAGCTCCAGCCGTTGCGGCCTTCGGGGGAGTGAACCAGCAGATGAAAAGACCACTCTCGCTCTCTCTTGCTCTAACTCCGCCTCTCAAATAAACAAATTAAAAAAAAAAAATTTTTTCTTAAGCCCATTCCTGGGCCTCCTGTTTGACTTACCTACAGGAGACCCTGATTTAATGGGTCTTGGGAAAGCCAAACCCATTTGCGCCCACCCTGGAGGCGCTGGCGAAGATTCGCACCCACCCTGGGCGGTAACCAATGAGGGGACCGGGAAGGCGGGACTCCGGAGGAACCCGCTAATGAAAAGCCTGGAGAGGGCCG